GGGGGCGGGGGCGTGTGTTTTGGGTGAGTTGGAGGTAGGTATGCGGGGCGGCGCCTGGGCCGGAGCGTGGCGCGCAGATCAAGCGTCCCCCGACGTGCTGACTGCGAGCCCGCCGGCTGTTGCGGTAGATACGGGCACACACGAAGTTGGCTGGGGATGTCACTTGTCATCACGTAGAGATGTGCAGATGCCATTTCAGATCGCCCATATCAGCGACCAGATCACCCGTGATGGCAGATCACACCCACCCGCGATCGACGCCACCTCGGCCTCCGACAGCAGCGTGGACGGCTGACTCATCGGCGGCGCAGCCCCGCCCGCCGGCAGCGCCAGCGCCGGCCGCGACGACGAGTGCGGCAGAACAAAGGCCGGCCCCTGCGCCCGCAGCGACGCGTTGGCCACCGCCGGCCCCGGCCGCGCGGCGCCGCCGCCGCCGCCGCTGCCTGCGCTGAGCGCGCCGGCGGACAGTACACGGCCCAGCGGCCCCGGGCCGGCCGCCTGTGAGCGCCCCGCTTCGCTGGGGGCCTGTGGCCACGGCGCTCCACTGGGCACAGGCGGCAGCGGAGACGCTGCCGCGGGGCGCCGCGCGGCCGCCCGCTGCCCCAACTCCACCGCGCCGCCGGCGAACCCGCCGCCGACGCCCTTCTCGCCGCCGCCCTGAGCCGGCGCCGCAGCCGCGAACGGCCCCGTCCGCGAGTGGCTGGCCGCGCTGCCGGCGGGCGGGGTGCGGCTGCCGCAGGCGAGGCCGCCGCTCTGGCGGCGGCGCGCGAGGGCGCGCTCTGATTCGAAGACATTCGCCTCCAGGTGGCCGCTGCCGTTCTGCTCAGAGATGGCCCTGGACCATGACTAAGGAGGTTTGAAAAACGATGAGGAAAGAGGGAGGATGACGAGGATGATCAGGGTTTTGCGGGGAGGTTTGGTTTGCAGGGAGCGGCTGGCGTGAGTGGAGGGGGCTGGACCTCCCAGGGTGTGTGGGGTGACTTCGCGCCCCAGAATCATCAACCGCCCCCCGCCCCCCACAAACCTCCCAGGGTATGTGGCGACTCCCGCCCAAAGCTCATCCCCCTCGAACTACCCCCCTCCCCACCTCCCAGGGTATGTGGGCGTTGATCTCGTGGAGCTCACTCCACTCAAACCCGCCCCGCCGCGGCGGCGGCGCCGCCGACAGGCCGAACGCCAGGAAGCTTCTGACCACTGCGGCCAGCTTGGTGGGCGGTATGCTGCTGCTGTAGAAGGGCCGGTCGGTGGGGTGGCCTGTTTGAGGGGGAAAAGGGGGGGCGAGGCCAGGGCAGAGCCGAGGGGGATGTTCAGGCGTGTCAGGGAGGCGGGGGAAAGGGGCGCAAAGGGCAGGCGAGCGGAGAGCGTGGCGCTGCAGGATGTATGTGTGCTGACTACTATGGAAGACAGCCCCTGACCGGCGCGCATCGCGGTCCCTGAAAAACCACACTTTGTTTGCAATCCATAGGAAACCCAGCCTGATCCTGACGGCTGTTGAGACGCGCCCGGCCCCCGCCCCCAGGGGTGGCCCGCCCACCGTATCGCTGCGCCTTTGTGAGCGTCTCCCCCAGGGCGTTGAGGCGCAGCAGGGGGCCGCTGTCGGTGAAGCGGCTGCAGCTCCACGCCACGTGCTGCGGGTTCGGCGCGCGGGCGTGGGCGTACAATCGCAGACGGCGGCGGCGCGGTCAGCCTCCTACTCAACCAATCAATCCAAGCCGCAGCCGCTCAATACAGGACAAGTATGGTGGTGTTATAATTGTTTTGAAGCCGAGGCATCGTTTCGACCCCTGCATGTTGGCTCGTGCTGACAATGACGTGTGCTACTGCATGCCACGGTCTGGAAACTGCCGCAGACCCTGCAGTGATAACCCCCATCCTGGCCAACCACCACCCAGCCCAGGCTTATTCAGGGGGGGAGAGGGCGAATGAGGCGGCAGCTGCAGAAAGCTGGCCAGGGGGGCCGCACCTGCGGCATGTCTGTCTCGAGGGCGTTGAGCGCCGCAGCCAGCGGCGCCATGTCGAGCCGCGGGAAGACGGGCCTGCTGGCGACAACCACGGTCTGGGTGTACTTGCACTCCACCTCGTAGCGGCGGTCATCATACACGGTCAGCTGCGGTTGTGGCGGGGATGATGTGGCAGAATGGATATCGGTATCAGAATGGGTATGGGCATGGATATGGTTTAGGTATGAGGATGGATTGAGGAGGCGCAACCTTAAATCTGTTGGTGAAACCAGCTGTGAACACATGGGTTCAATTGAAGATCGCGAGGGAAACGTACATGAAAGATGCCCCCTGTCAGCAAGCAACCATGTACTGAGAACTGGGCTGGTCTGGCGCGCGGCGCCTCCCCGGGGCGCGGCCGCCCAAGGTGCCCGCACCCCGCGCTCCGCCGGCCGCGGCCTGCTGCCCAGCTGCCCGCCCCCGGCGGCCCGCTCACCACCACGTCTGACCCGATGGTGTGTGAGAATATGGCGTAGTAATGGAGGGGGTCGGGAGCGCTGACCACGGCCAGCCCTACAGACGGGAAGGCCTCCACCATGCAGTCGGCGCCCGACAGCTGGTCAAAGCCGGAGACCACCTGTTTGATAGGTGGATGGGGAGAAAGGGGTGAAGTGGGGGTGCTTAGACGGGCGGGGCGCGCTTGGCTGACACATCGCGGGCGGCACGTAACCCCACACACAGCAAATGTGTGGGAGAACCTGTTTCCAAGGTGGGGTGGCAGCCGCAGCTGGGTGTGTGCTGTGGGACAGGGTGCGACCTGATGATGTCATGCGGGATGAAAACGCGGCCCTGCAAGCCGCAAATCCTCGCCCTCGACAAAGTACATGCAGCCTCACGCCAGGGCCCCCAATAACAGCCCCTCCTATGCCCTCCATCTACCCCCTCTCTCCCCGGATCTGCGCCCTACCGTGGCCCGCCCCGCCTCCCACCAAACACGAGCACACATCTCGGCCCCTGGCAAACACAGCGGGTTCCAACCCAAAATTTTGCCTGAAATCTACTGGCACCCCGACTCGCCGCCCCCAACCCCCCAAACCCCCCCTCACCGCTGTGTACTCTGACTGCCAGTCGCTCCAGGCACTCTCGGGGTCCTCCAGCACCTGGCCAAACCTGGGGAGTCCAGGGTGGCAAGCAGGGGGGATTGTAAAGCTCGGCGGCCCGCGCCTGGGCAACGCAGTGGGGTTGAACGGCCGCCCTCGGGGCCAGCAAGAAGCAGGCTGCCAGCAGAATACAATCGGCAGCCTTGTCCCTGGGCCTTTTGGATTGCCGACAGCCAGGCCGGCGCTGGGCGCCCCCTGGCACCCCGCGCCAAGCCCAAACTGCCAACAAAGGCCTGACGCATCACCCCAGCGCAGCCCCAAACTGTCCGTGACAAACTCAAGTTGCTGGGCTCAACAATCGCGCACGATCTAGAGAATGGCTTGCACAAAGGATCCTGATGAGAATTCATCTCACATAAACTGCCAAAGCGCCCCCTCAAGCAACACCCACGTGCGCGCTGGCGCGCACACGCACATGCACTTACACATGTCCAGGCCCACGGACGCAAACACACAAGCGCATGAGTTCGCATGCTCGCATACCCATGCGCCCACACGCATGCGCCCCCCCCCCACCTGGGCAGGAACCAGGCCATCTTTGCGGCGCAGTCCTTGGCCTCGTAGGGTGCGCTGAACAGGCGGCGCTCCAGGGTGTTGAGCCAGCACACCAGCTTCAGGGC